TCTCGCAGCGGTGGACGCGCGCCGGGGACGCGCCAAGGCAGACGTCATTGGGCCGCTCGCTTGCGATTCGTCTTCGCGCCACTCTGGACTCTGACGCCAAACCACCGACATTTGGAACGTGGACCGTCGTCTGCTCTCACTCGCCCACGCCCCGGATCCGCCTGCTGCAAGCCATCGCCCAACGCCGCCCCTCGACCTGCTGCCAGAGCCCGTTGCTGTGCGCTCTCTCGCGCTAGGTCGCCCCAAGACCTGCTGCCCCTGTTGGCTGTCCGCTGCCTCTCCGCCGCGCCCGACGACTGTCCGCATCCTGGCCAACCCGTCCAGCGCCCGCCCGGCAATATCTGCCACACATCCCGCCACGAGGTGCCTTTCACACGGTCGAATCAATGTCGAGCCCATGTCACCCCAGCCGGACCTCCAAGGAAATGCCTCACCCCCCGCCTCGGTGAGGTCCACCGCCAGTCAAGACCATGCCTTGGTCCCGAAGAGCCTCTCCCAGACGGGCCGCTCGCGTACCGCCCCTCTTGCTCACGACTCCTCCCTCTGGAAGTCGTCAATTGACCGTCCCCAGCTCGATGAGCGCGACAGCATCTTTGCTACCACCTACCTGGCCTCGGACAGCCCAATCTCCTCTCCCCGCGCCACCGCTCGCCAAGTAGACTGGTCCAACGATGCTCCCGAGCACAGCTTGTCCGACATGGCCGCCCCAGCTCCTCCCCAAAGGCGACTGATAGACCCTCCCATCATACGCAGAAAGCACTCGACCATCCCGCCCATCAGCTCAATTGACCACCACGCCCTCCTCAACACCCCCTTCAATTCCCGTACAGCCATGGCCACGGCCATGTGCCTCGAAACTCCCCATCACAGCCCTCCGCCTTACATGAGTCCTGTCGAGTCCCCCGTCCATCGCCCAGTTACGCCACACCACCCAGAGCTCCAGTCCACATTGCAGGGCGCTCTGCTTGAGAGCGACGAGAGGCGCAGGAACAGAGAATGGCGCGAGGGCAAGCCCGTGCCGTTCAAAGGCAACGTTATCATCGACACCCCAGTCATGGACCAGGAAATGGAGAAGAAGATTGAAGCTACTCTTGCCAAGACTGAACAGCCCACCACCGCTCGCAGCCGCAAAGCAAGTCACTATCTCCGTGTTTTCAAGGACGGCGACCCCTCAGAGGAGCCCAAAAAGAAAGAAAAGGCTAAAGAGCGCTTGCCGAACGAAAGGACCCTGTCAACCCTGTCAGAGGAAGGATCGGCAAGACCCAATGGGGCTGAAACAAGCAACCTCACTGAGCAACTGCGGCGTGCGTCGCTTGCCTCCTCAGCAGTCCAGTCTCCCGCAGGCGGTCCGAACGAATCGTATTTCGAATCAAAGCCAGGTCCACGCGCAGACATAGGCATTGCCATAACGCCTCCTTCTCAAACAAACGCCCAAGGCGCCTCGGACAACCGGCAGCTTCCAAGGCGCCTCCTCGAAGATATCCGGGGTTTTGGTCACCTCACTCCCAGCATCGAAAGACGATCGCCTGTGTTGCGCAGTCTACCGACTGCAGCTATTGAGAAGGTTCACGCCCACGCGCCTACCAATGGAACTCCATATCACCATGAGTCTTCGGACTATTTTCAGCCCAAGGACGGAAGCAGCAGGGAGCGCACGCCGGGTTCGGAGGAGGAGGAAGAATCGGAAAAGGAGCAAATATCCTCGGCGCTCTACTTCCCCCACCGTCGTATAAAGCCCAGCGATCAGGCCGCCAAAGAAGCAAATAATCAAGATGGAGAGGTAAATGCTGTCGAGAAGAGGGCCTCGATTCACGAGAGTGCAGTGCCCAAAGGGTGGGCCACTGAAAAGGAGGTGCAAACTCCACAAGAGGTAGAAATTTCTCTACAATCCACAGATACAAATCAATGCCTCCATGGTGACATCCCCACGGCAGCTCCCGTAAAGAAAGACAAAGATCAGCCGTTGACGCCCTCGGCTGTTGATTCGCTTTCGGGTGAATCAGAGCCTGAGTCGCTCGCTGAGTCGGCTCAATCACTTCTTGGCTATGAATCCAGTGCGACTGATGATCTAGGCACGACGCCCACTGCAGCAACCTACAAGAAAGAACCCAAGGCTGCTTCGACTGCACCATCTCAGCCGCCAGCCCCATTGGGTGCTGTCGAGTTGAAACCGTACGATCATCAAGTAGGCGGCCACTCGACTGTTTATCGCTTCTCAAGACGCGCAGTCTGCAAGCAGCTAAACAATCGAGAGAACGAGTTCTACGAAACAGTCGAGAGGCAGCATCCGGAACTGCTAGATTTCTTGCCAAGGTATGAAATCCCAACTGCACTATTGAGCGAAGCTGAAACTTCAGCCAAGATTTGCTTTCGCCCTTTGTGCTCGTATTGAGGATTGTTTGCTGATGAAGTATTGTCTAGGTATATCGGTGTCCTGAACGTGACCTACCGTAAAGCACCCAAGAAGAAGAAGCCGCACAAGGACAAGGCCAAACACGATGCTGGCATTACTACATCGACGACGCAGTCAGAAAATCCTTCAAGGCAGGCCTCTACAGCCCCGAGTGATCCAAGCAAGCCGGAACCGACTCGAGTTGTTAGTCATTCACAGCAAATCATGCCTACCCCTCAGGTCATTTTTGAGAATAATCGTCACATCATCCCAGATAATTTGTTTCGAGTACCACCACGCTCTGCAACGCCTGATCCATGGATGAAAAGTTCTTCGTATTCTTCTTCACAGCAGCATCGGCGATATCAGAGTGACTACGGGTACCCTCCGAGAAGTTCCTCACGACCACCATTGCAGCACACCACCAGCTGGGGCGTCACAACAATCAACCGGAAGCTGCAAGAGGAAGTTCTGCGACAGGTTTTTGCTCCACCAACCATACATCATCGGCAACGCCACCATCGTCACCATGTCATGGCTTCACGCGCCGTCGGAGATTCCCCGCACTCTACGGTAGGCTCTGCGCCTACGATAAGGAGGAACAGCACAGATGTGGCCACGTTGCATTCGCAGCCTCCAGAAGAATGTACCAGGAAGCAAGTCTTGAAGGCAGAAGCGCGACGTCATGCTTCGGGCGGAAGCGCTGATTTCCCTATCCACAGCTCGATGCCAGGTTCTGGAATCAACGATGAAGCATCAAAACCGCCACCTGGCATCATTCCTCGACGCCGCCACTCTGGTAGCGGTTTGACCAGGAGACCCCTTGGAATTGATACTGAACAGCGCCATGGTCTCGAGTACTATGAAGAGGACGGTTACGGTGGCGATGCAGAAGAAGAGGTTTTCAAGATGGACGAAGACTCGAAAACCAGCAGTCAAGAAGACAGGGGCCGGTCGTTACACAACAACAGAGCTTCCAAAGCACACCATTCCGAAGCGCCACTAGAAGGTACCATGTTACCAGCAGCCCCAATCGTGCCAGGTAATATGTCTGCTCCACCTAGTCAAGAGCCAAGTAATCCCGACAGTGCCCTACAGCAATCTGATGAGCGTGTGCAGCATTTCCTCCTCCTTGAAGATCTTACAGCAGGCATGTCAAGGCCCTGTGTTTTGGATCTGAAAATGGGCACGCGCCAGTATGGCATCGAAGCAGACGAGAAGAAGCAACGTTCTCAACGGCGCAAGTGCCAAATGACGACCAGTCGAGAACTTGGCGTGCGAGTCTGCGGCATGCAGATCTGGAACGTGAAGACGCAGAGCTACATCTTCGAAGACAAGTATTTTGGCCGCGATCTCAAGGCCGGAAAAGAGTTTCAGGACGCACTGAAGCGTTTCTTCTGGGATGGGACTGGGTACAAGGCGGCGACTAGACACATTCCCGTCATCTTGGAGAAGATTAGCCAGTTGGAGCGCATGATCAAAAATCTGCCTGGGTATCGATTCTACGCAAGCAGTCTGTTGATGCTCTATGATCGCGGGGATGGTGATTCAAAAGAAAAAGACGGTTCAGTCCCACAATCCAATGGTAACTCTGCAACGAAAAACGAAGACGCCGCTACTGGATCTTCCGGGCCAGGGAACGCGTCCCCTCCGAAAGCGGAAAAGCATTCAGAGATCAAGCTCAAGATTGTCGACTTTGCCAATTGCGTGACCGCAGAAGATCCCTTGCCTGATGACCTTCCCTGTCCTCCAGAAAACCCCAATGGTATCGACAGAGGCTACCTCCGTGGACTCCGGTCGCTGCGATTGTACTTCCAGCGCATCTGGAACGACATCAACGAAGAGTGGGTTGAGCGAGGTGAAGGCGAAGGCATGGCGCGCAACCATCACCACGGACCTGGCCTGGGCGAAGTTGGCGCAGGCTGGATGGACGATACTGGAGGCGAGGATACTGGCTATGTCAGTTTCTAGACATGGTCACGAAAGCATGACATGTCGGTGAAGGAAATTGGAGATGGAAATCCGGGTTTCATTCTATTATACCTACACTTCAGTTTTCGATTCCCGTTTCCAAGTGTTTTGAGCATGGTGTATGGCGCAACAAGGAAAGACAAAGCTAATGAAATTGAACGCTCTGCGACCGGCGTAGCATTTGCATGGGCTGGGAAACTTTCTTTTTGTCTGTTGGTTTCGGGTATGGAATCTGGTTGTGTGTGTGTGTGTGTGTGTGTGTTTCAATTTTTATCCTCCATCTTGTAATACTATGGTTAGAAAAGTAGAGATTCTCAGCGCTAGCTTACGAAGTCATTATCTAGACTTCGTATAGTGTTTTATTTGCGACGAATTTCCCAGCCAATCATCTCATATCTCCAACGCGTGATAAGGAAAGCCTGGATGTGGTGTACTTATCGCAGACTAGATGACCTGCTATCTAGATATGCAAAAGACAAGCATCCTAATCGCGAAATGGGAAACTTTCCCGTAACGATCTATACCCCACTTATGCAGCAGCATCCCCTCACCATCCGCAAGTCACAGCAGCCTGCATGTTCAACCAAGCACATATCTGGTCATGTCGTCTGCGAGTGACCACTTGCATGCCCCTGCCATGTCCCCTCTAACCATTGACCCCCCATTGCTCAACTCGGCAAACCCCTGGTGCACCACGCTCTCCCAATTGCAAGACCTCTACACCAACCCCCACACCGGTGCCATAACAACCCGCACCTCCCTCCCTTCCTCCACAAACAAAGGATTCCCCCACGACCCCAGTATCCACCAATTCGCCTTCTTCACCCCAGACACCCTGTCCAGCTCAACCCCAAACAAGGATCTATCAGACGATGCCTCGACGACCGGTAGTCTCAACACGCTCGGCTACTCGCCCATCCCCCTCTCGGAATACCTATCCTACGTACAAACAATAAGCAACACACACTGCGCCTCGGTACCACTCCACAGCCGCACCAGCCACAAACCCATCATCGTGTCGGTGACGGGAACCGCGGAAGAGGTGGTGCAATGCTACCGTCAAATCCGCACGTGCCAGCGCGCCGTCCACATGCAACTGGCCATGGAAATCAATCTCTCATGCCCGAATATCCCTGGGAAACCGCCGCCTGCGTATTCAAGACTGGAACTAGCTGAGTATTTGCGGGGTTTGGGACGGGAAATGTCAGTTGAGCAACCACAGCAACCACAGACTCGGGAAGAAGCAAGTGAAAGAGGAGAGGATAGGCCAGAAGTTCCAGTAGGCATCAAAACACCACCATACACGTACCACGACCAATTCCAGAGCCTAATCGATGCGCTCCTCGATTGCAGTGAGAAAGGGTCGTCACCATCGTCGTCGTCGTCGTGTCCGGTGAGTTTTATCACGGCGGTGAATACGCTTGGCTCGTCGCTTTTGGTCGCACCATCATCGTCTTCTATTGCAACCACTACCGTTTCTCACAACAACACCACCACCACCACCACCCATACCGACACCGATACCTCTGCATCCACTACCCCATCCTTCCACCCAACCCTCACATCAGCAAACGGCACAGGCATCGGCGGTCTGGCAGGTACACCGCTGCATCCCCTCGCGCTGGGCAATGTGTATACAATCGTGCAGATGCTAGCGCAGCATGAGGTGTTGAAGGGAATACAGGTGATTGGGGTCGGTGGTGTGGCGGATACGGAGGGGTATAGACGGATGAGGGGGGTAGGCGCGCGAGCGGTGGGTGTGGGGACTGCGTTGGGCAGGAAAGGGGTGGGTGTTTTTGAGGAGATTATTGGCACTGTGGGTGTGCAAGAGAAGAAATGAAGACGAAACGGTGATAGGATGATTTGTGGGGTGTTTTTTTTTTAAGATTTTGTTTCTTAATATTATTTTTTGGTTATACATTTCATGTGTGTGTGAGTGTGAGTGTGAGTGTGTGTCCTTTGATCTAATATTAATTTTTATTTTGCTTGCAATGGCTCATTATGCTTTCTTTCCTTTTGTTGTTGTTTTCTCCGAACTAGGGTAGTTGAAAATTATCAAGGGTATCTCTTTTGTTTTTGCTCTCTTCGTTTCCCATTTTCTTTCTCCGGGGACCATGATTTTCCCCTAATTAGCTTCATGCAGTGTATTTCTTTTCGGCATGTCTCGATGCTAATTCTGCTGCACCCCTTGCAGCTAGCCACTCACTATCCGCTCGCTCATTAACGCTCAACATGCCGCTAACGTCCATTTCCAGCTCGTCCCAAAGAGCCTCCTCGACTCTGCTCTTGAATTCGGCGTCTGCGCCGTGACTGCCCAGGAGAACGATTCTGCCTGGCGCCTTGCCCTGTGGGCTCAGAACAAATGCGATGCTTTGCTGGACCTGGGCCCAGAATTTTGCTCGTGGTGCGTCGTACATGGGGAGATGCCACCAGCCGAGATCAGAGCGTATGATGCGGTTGATTATGTGTCCTTGTGATGCATAGTCTCTGCAGGCGTATTCGTGCATGCTTGCGCTAAAAGCGCCGTCATCAAAGGCGAGGAAGAGAACGTGCTGCAAGTGTTCTGATTGCGATTGTGTGGTGCATGAGGATGCAGGCTTGAGAGCGGCATGGGTAGCCAATGCTTCTTCGTAGAGTACGGCGCTGTCCTCGGATGAAGCAAGTCCTGCAGTTACCATGGCCCTTTGGAAATTTTGTTGCAGTCTGGGAGCCTGAGGGGATAGGGCCAATGTGGCTTGTTGTACAGAAGCATCCAGCTCCGTCTCAATGGCTCGGTGAAGTCGGATCATGAAACCGGACAAGACCATTTCATCGCTGGCTTCCAGTGGTCCAGTGTAGCCAGCGCCAGAGGACATCCACCGCCGCATCAAATCCTGATAATCGGCGCTTCCTTCCATCCTCACGAGGTCTCTGGTTGTTCCATTTTGGTAATGAGCGGCGGCCACGGCATGTGACGTTGTAAAGTGAAGGCCAATACTGGGCGAAGCGTGTGTGGTTTTATCCTCGACGCTGGTGGTGTCGTCTGTGGCGCTGTCGACAATGGGTATTTGCTGTGCCGGTCGAATGACCCGTGCACTAGCCAAAGGCACGAGAAACAGTAGAGTGGACAACTTCATGTTGGAGTGGGGAAATAGTATTAGTAAATAAAGGCGGGGTTGACGAAACACAAAAAGGGCGCAAGAGAAGGAGGGTCAAAAGGCCAAAAGAAGGCCAACTAAGTGCGAGAGAGCGAACAATGGTGGGTGAAGGCACGGTGAATGGTGATGGCAGCCGTACAAAAAGAGCGGAAGGTGGAACGGCAAAACGGCGACAGCAAGGGCGGTCGGTCGAGGTCGCGTGGCCATATGGGCCCATCTTATAGTAGTAGGACCAGGGAGAGGGCGTTGCAGACAAGCATCCGACGGTACCGTGTGGCTTGCCAGAGCTTGCCAGATTCCGATAGCGCCTGAGTGTGAGTGCGCTGGTTCCATGGGCGTCAAAGGCCCGTGGTCCGCGTCGACTATTGGGAAGGTTGGCGCTAGGCCGCGCAGGGCACCGAGGCATTACTAGAGTGCCTTGGTTTCTGTTTGATGAGCATTGATGAACACGGCCAAGGTCTGAGGTTGTTCACATGCCTGCCCGACGGCTCCTCACCCGCATCTCGACCTTGGCGACGCGCTTCGCTGTTTCTTGGGGCCTACCAGGCTCGGGCGCCGTGTGCGACGTTGAGACGGCCATGTCCAAGGGAGTGGTGTCGGCGAGGGGGAGGGGAGGGGAGGAGGAGAAGTACCAAGCTTTGGCCGGTGCCGGGTCTGCCGTGATGCTATTTATAAAGCGCCTTGGCACAGCGAGCGTCTACAGTAAGTACGAGACTCGTGGCACCGCCTCAGTAAAGTACAAGTGCAAGAGTCAACCCTCATCGAGTGGCTATCGTCTGCCCAAGGCACTGGTTTCTGTTCTGTTTGATGCGGAGTGGTCTCCTGCTTACTTACATATTTCCGACTGGGGTTGGCTGGCATCGCGCGTATGGTGACTGCATTGCTCCGCGTGGCCCCGCTCTTTCAGGTACCGGTGGCTCGACACTCTGCGCCCTTATCCCCGGGTCATTTTCACACGCATTGACTGCGGCGCACACCAGCTAGGGTGTCGTCGGTGGACCTCAGCTGCGCCACTGTCAATACTCGGGCTCGACGACGAATTCAGCCCTGGCGACTCAGCTGTGTCTTCACCTGTGTGGGTACACTGCCATACAAGCAGACCAAATAATGCCACTGACAAAGGCAGAGAGAGTTTGGAGAGCTCCACGAGTGAACTGCAATCACCACTCGCAACCCCAATCCGATGGCATACGGACCATACTCTGGATTCACCCAACGCTGCGGGGGGCTCTAGTCGACATGCTTACGCTTGTCACGCACAAAGAATGCTCCGCAGCCACGGACCAAAACGGCGTAGCGCAGCACATCCATCGTATCCCTGACAGCCCTCTGCGTACGGACCATACCGACTTTGTGATATTTGAACCCCTCGTATGCAGATCTTCCGCACTGACTACACGATGCCTGGAGCATGCACCATTGTGTGGTAGCTGGCAAGCTTCCCCAGTTCAACGGGCCCAGCCCTAGAATCATCCAGGCCCATCTTCCATGACTCCTGTATCGTGATCATGCTTCATGTACATGTCCACATCATCAACCCCCTTTTCGTATTCCATCCATCATCAAAGGTCACACGGGCACGTCAACCCGTGCGGGGTTCAATATACGGCTATTTCCAAAGCTACGTCCTTGCGATACTCATCTGCCGAACATCAATCTATCGCTCCACAGGGCGCAATGACAAGCTTTTTGGAGATGCGGGAGTCCTCGCTTCACTTGCCTCGCATCTGTACAACAACCTTTTGTCCGGCCACCTTTCTGCCAACTGAACAAGTCGCTTTAAACTTCGTCAACATGTATGCAGTCATCCGTCTCAAGGCATAACGGCTCGGTCTTACGTTAGAACACGACCAAGAATCTTTCTTCTGCTCCGTTACTTCTCCTTGACGATTTCGGGCCATTTTCGTCAGCACTAACAAATACTCCTACTAGCATGCCGAAGCCGAATTAGTGACTTTGCAACAACAAAATCCTTCAGGCGATGGAATAATCCGAGTGCTCTCATCACATCTTCGTTTTACAATGTTAATCAGGGAGAAAAGGCTGAAGATGGCGTTTTCAACCTAATTTTTAGTATTAAACACACCTACGGATGGTTTACAAAATACCTCGCTGACACATCCATGTCAGTTTCGCATTAACAATGCTCACCTAGTAACGTCAGATTACAATGCGAGGCAGACCTTGGCTAAGCAACACATTCAAGTCGGCAGATTATCCACACTCAAAATCGCTCCTCACATTCTGGTCATGGAAACCCATACTATCCACGCCGCGTAATAAGCACAACTGAGTGAAGATTGATTTACATGCGTCAACTTCATGTACCCAGACCTAAACACAAAAGCTTTCAGAGCCATATTCCCCACAGCTTTTACGCAACAACCGCACACTGGTCATTTATTGGTGACATGCTGTTATTCCGCAAAGATTCGATCTACACTTTTACCCAAGCTCCAGCCCGAACTTAAACCGCTCTCACGAAACAACGCCTAGCCACGGCATGATTCTTCCAATGATGCACCTCTACGCAAAACCGATAACCTCACGACCAACTCTTTTCCCGCAAAAGAACGGAGCATCTACGCAAGGCCGGATATAGCACGTTGTGCTGACCAAATCTCTTATCGAGGACCAATGTGCAGCTAAAATGCGCAGTCGTCATGACCATATTTCTTCACGTGCTCTACTGTGTGATCTGGCTCAAAGCAAGGCTTCGTACGTAGGAACCCAAGATAAGTACATTTCCTACCTTTCTCATGGTATCACCAACTCTTGCTCCAACCATAGTCCTGTAGAAACCGAGTGCCCTTGAATAGTACACACAGAACATTAATGCTCCCATTATCACTGGCGAAATTCCAACAAGAACCGTTTATGTGATTGACTCGCTTTTTCGTATGAAGACCAGCCAGTAGCATGTCAGGATATTATGACAGTACACTGGCTCTTATTCGACTTGTCAGGCTCATGAGCTAAAAGGGACTCAATGCAACTTATAGCGACTTACAGAATAGTGTTACCACTCCAGATGTTTGAACAGGCCTGAACGGATTTCAAGTGAAATAGGCTGATCTCAAGACATTTCCACGGAGTACGCTTAGAGAGGTGGCAACTGGGCACCACACTTGACCTTCTTCAATAGCTAAGTGCCACAGCTCGACTACAAACTCGATTGAACCAACACTCGTAGAATCGTAAAACTCGATAGAGAAACATCCCATTCGTATATTCACTCATTTGGTCAAATGAAGTTCCTTGCTATCAAAGCACTGGTAGATATTCATACTTGCCAAGATGCAAAACACAGGTCAAATCCCTAATGCTCCTATAACAATCGCACTAATATCCAGACTTACCAGGCACAATCCCAAAACACGGTCCACCTTTGCCAAACATCTTCTGCAAGTCCTCAGCAATCGCATCTGGCCTCTCGTGCGCCGCAAAATGACCACCTTTGTCATGAACACTCTCGTACACTAGTGGACCTAAGAAAAGTTAGCAAAAAAAAAGGGGGTCACAACATCAGTAAAACATCTCTTCAAAAACACGATAATCAGAGACGTCAATGAAAAGAAAGGTAATCCATACCCAACGTCCTCGCCCACAACCTAGGCACAACCGTAATCTCCCTGGGGAAATGCGCAACCCCCAACTTCACGTTACCCACCCACCCACTCGCCCTCTCCCTATCCGGCACCTCAACTGTTGGATTATGCCCGGCCTCATAATAAATCCTTATATGCGCATTTGGTCCCGCAGTGCTAAACCAGTAGATGCTAACCCACGTGAGCACCTCCCCGTCACTCCACGCATACCCATCCGTCCACTCGACCAACTTCTCATAGATCCACGCGAGCAGCGCAACCGGACTATCCGCAAACGCGTACGACAGCGTTTGCGGCTTTGTAGCTTGCAACTGGCGATACGCCTGGCCTTGGCCTTTGAACCACGCCCCGCGTGCCAGACCGGCGGTTTCGGCGGCGCTGTAAGGCGTGACTGCGTGCTGCAGCGCCAGCAAGGGCTGCGAGGAAAACTTGGGCGCGTGGGCGCGCACCATGTTGATGTGGCTGGCGAGGACCGAGTCCGGGTACAGCAGGCCCATGATTCGCGTCACGTAGAAGCCCCAGTCGCCGCCTTGCGTGATGTATTGGGTGTAGCCTAGGTCGTGCATGAGCGTGTTGCAGGTTTCGGCGTATTGCGGCAGGGCGAAGCCCGGTTTGCGGATTCGCTGGCTGAAGCCAAAGTTGGGGAGGGAGGGGGCGACAATGGTGAATGCTGGGTGGCTGGTGGAGCTGGTGGAGTCGAGTAGAGGGAGGAGTTTTGTGACTTCGAGGAAAGAACCGGGCCAGCCGTGGCAGAAGAGGAGGGGGATGGCGTTTGGGTTTGTGCTTTTCTTGTGGACAAAGTGGATATCGATGTCTCCGAAGCCTTTGACTTGTACCTTTTTTCTGTAGTTGGGGAGTTTGTTGATTTGGGCTTCAGCTTTGCGCCAGTCAAAGGTTGTTTCCCAGTGCTTTGCTAGGCGTTTTATGTCGGATAGTGGTGATCCGTATGGCCATTGGTCCGGCGTATCGAGCTCATCTGGAAAGTCGGCATCAGACAATTTTCTCTTTAGCTTTTCAATGGACGCATCAGGGACGGATATCGTGTATGGTTCAGGGTCTGATCCCATTGTGGACAAGAGCTATACTATTCAAGCTGTTTCTTTGGACGACAATGTTGTTATTCACATATACAAGAATGAAGCAACGATATGTTCAATAATCATACTCAACAACTGAATCAAGCTGTTTTTCAAGAAGAACACAACACATTGTCGTCTGCAAGATGACGGCACTGCGTCGCTAAGACTGGCAGTGAGAAGATGACGTGACGGCAGATATCGGCTTATTAATTTCGCCAAGAGATCCATGAATGGTTAGGCACATCCTCATACTCGAACAAGATGCTTTCTTCGGCAATCTCCCCCTTTGAAAGACTTCAAAACTTGTACTCTTACATCCTTCGATATTGTAGTGCTGACAATCCAATAATATACAGTGGGTTTAGAAGCAAGCAATGAAGCTGCATAACGTAGCGCGACCTCTCTTGGATCCTCGTGAGTGGGAAGGGTATGCACAGTTTCCTTACATTGTGATTTATGAGAACTCAATGCAGCTTTCTGATGTTGAAATAGTGTGAATTCTGATTTCGCATACTGGTTTAAGCAATGAACATGTACGCCTCTTTTGAGACCAAATTCCACGGCAGTGACCAGCTAAGACAAATCGGGTATAGCGGACCGCCGCCGTGGAATCTCCTACATATTCCTCCACCGCCAAAGCTAGGATGGATCTACCAAGATGAATTCAGGAATCCTCGACAGGGACCTGCTATACTAAATGGAGTATAGTCCCACACTGGGATCATACCGACAGTCCGTAAACAGCTAAGAAGAGGGGTGCAGCTTTAGCTACATATCGGCACGGCTGCCCGCTATTTGCTGTACGTACCACGAGAGATTCTGGCGTTTGTCGCGTGACATCTTTCCAGCCCAAAAAGGGCATTTTTAACACCACGTTGAAGATTGGAAGGATAGTAGTATGCGCTTTTTGAAGCCAATGATATTGCGTTCCGTCGTGCATGAGAAACCATCGGAAGCAATTTTAATATGCAGCTAGAGCTGCATCAACTCGCCTTCGTGGCACATGTAAAGATGAGCTGGCCTGTCCTTCTGTGGTACAAGATAGGCAAGATAAAGCATTGATGTACCTGGAGAGAAGGCGACACAACACATCCACTTTCGGTGCTCGGAATGAGTCGGAATAGCTCGGAATACCCCAACTTACGGTTGTGAGACGCGTGCCAATCATGAGTTGCGGACCAAGACCTGCTATCAAGGCATGACTGCCAGCTTCTTTCCCGAGCCATTTTCCCGATACCATAAAAGTAGTTTAACTCTTGATTCTCGTAGATATCACGGCATCTGGTCAAGACCGAAACTATCTTGTCAATAATCAGATTCAATGGCATCCACTGTCGATACCCTGAGGGATGGACATACGACCGCAAGCGGAGCACTCGAAGCCGCAAAACAACGGTTCGCAAAGAGAAACCCTGTGAGCTTCAAACTGCACGAAGAAGCAAGCAAAAGGCTACCAGGCGGCAACACACGAAGTGTACTTCATACAGCACCGTTTCCAATCTTTCTCAAAAACGGTAAAGGGTATCAGGTCATTTCAGAAGACGGACATACATACACGGACTTTGTCGGCGAGTTCACGGCCGGGCTGTACGGACATTCGCATCCGGTCATCCAATCAGCACTGATTGATACCATTAATAATGTCGGGCTCAATCTTGGAGGCACGACGACGCTGGAAACAAGACACGCTGCGTTGATATGTGAGCGGTACAAGCTGGACCTTGTCCGTTTTACAAATTCCGGTACGGAGGCGAACTTGCATGCTATCCAGGGCGCACGGCGATTCACTGGAAAGAAAAAGGTTGTGGTGTTCTCTGGCGGATACCACGGAGGGTGCTATCTCTTTCCCGATAACCGCCCCGCAGAGAACTGTGTCGACAAGGGCGATTGGATCGTTGCAGAGTTCAATGACATCGAGGACGCGAAGAGGAAGATTGAAGGTTCTGAGGATGTTGCTGCGGTATTGGTCGAGGGCATGCAGGGTCGAGGGCCATGTCTTGTCGGCACCCATGATTTCCTGCAACAGGTCCAATCGTCGGCAAAGAAAGCTGGTGCCGTGTTCATTCTGGACGAGGTGCAAACAAGCCGCCTGGCCCCGGGCGGACTGCAGGAGCTCGAAAGCTTAACACCCGACATAACCACTTTAGGTAAATTCCTGGGTGGCGGGATTACGTTCGGCGCCTTTGGAGGACGAAGAGACGTCATGCGGGTTTACGATCCGCGAGAGAAGGGTTCGCTGGGACACTCGGGCACATTCAACAATAACACACTCGGCATGGCTGCAGGGTATACTGGTTTGGCGCAAGTATACACGGCTGAAGTGAGTCGTGAGTTCAACGTCATGGGCGATCGGTTCCGCCAGCGTCTCCAGAGCCTTTCGCATGGTACAAAAATGACCGTTACTGGTCTAGGAACGATTCTGGGGATTCACTTCTTACACGACGGTAAAAAGGAATTGAGGAACTATCAGGATCGCCTCGAAGATAGAGACTTGAGCATGCTGTTTTGGATGGAAATGATGGAAGATGGCTTCTGGATCTCGCAGCGGGGGAGTCTTGCAGTGATATTAGGAACACCTTGGGAGGAACTTGAAAAGTTTATTGACAGTGTTGAGAAATTTCTGCAGAGACACGCAAGTCTATTGGAGGTACGGATGGCCAAGGAAGAGAGTAGGCTGTAATCAGACACGTACGTGTACCTATCCAAGGTATTAGTGAAGCAGATATACGCAAGTGTGCAGCGTAATGCTATCTTATGGATGGTTGATCATATGATAGCAGTGCATGCTACAGGGCGCTCGTGAACAAGACCAATAACATGCACTGATATTAGACCTGACCGCTACTCTGCGAGTTTGGCGGCACGGGATATGGTGAGTGGCGCTGCAGCATTAGATCTTGGATTGTTTCTGAGTATCTGTAACCTTATTTCCTATTCACAGCCCGCCTCATGCTCGGCTTCGTTAGCATATATTGATTGAAACAAAGTCAATGCCTGTAACAACACCAAGACACTGTACGTGAATAGGTACAAATACAGACGTTGCGATTGGAGAAGCTAGGCGTCAAGCTTTCAGCAAGTACAACTCATTGCCGGGCGTCGGGACCATAAGCTGAGCTCAGCACGACGGACCAACGTCTACGTCTTCCCCCGCATATATTGTGGGGTCGGGGCTCCGGGACCTAGACCTGGGATACTGCTGGTGGCGAGTAAGGAAAGGACGGCATGCCATGACAAAAGGTGGAGAAAGCAGAGTCAAAGAAGCCGAGCGGTGGTGGCTGTTTCGAGGCTGCGTCACGGGGCACAATCATGGGCACCAATCGCGTTTCACAGCCCGCGGCCGCTTTTCAAGGCGCTAGCCAGACCAGCAACAGTTACAATATTACACTCTCTACTTCATATCATTACTTTTAGTTTTTTTTTAGAAAATAAATACAGCATATGTTAAGTAAAAACTTATTATAAGGTAGTAATAAAATAATGTTTTATATCTTATTAATAGCGCGGCCTTCTATAAAAGTGGCTTACTATCTAATACAGGCTACTTACTAATCCCGCACGTTATAAGAGTAGGCTAATAGACTAATTGTCTAAGGGGTAATCGGGCCGTATAGAAAGGAATTAAGGTTATAGACGAGAGATAAGTGAGTATAGAGCTGCAGTCTATTATACTAGAGGAACGTTTTTATTATCTAATCTTATTAAAGGGTCTATGGTTAGTTAGTTATATATATTTAGTTTGTCAGCCTTGGATTACTGAGCACACCTTCTACATACCACTTACTTCTTTTTACCTAACTATTCTCTAGCAAACGTCCACCACTATGCAGTTCATTATTCTCGCTCTTACTATCGTACCAATAGTTTTGTGTTAAGCCGAACCTACATGCTGGTACCCTAGGAGACCTATTAGTGGAGTTTGTGAACGTGTCTTCAAAGATGTAAATTATATTATTAATTCGTTAAAATTAGTACACTAAGCTATGATAGAGAAAGCTAGTACACGAATTTAACGGGTCTATCACCCAACAACACGTAGATCAAGTGTGCAGCGGTATGTTACACGGGGTCTGGAGTGCTAATACTTCTCTGGCTCGATCCGGGTTAGGG